AGCCAGCAGCAGTGCCTGCTAGGAAGCTGAGTCATGCAAATGTATCCATCTTTTTCAGTGAGTATCTTGCTGTCTTTAAGAAGACTGTATCCACCCATGAAGTCTTTCTTCAGCGGCTTTCATCTCACCCAGTTCTTAGTAAAGATCGAAACTTTCATGTGTTCCTGGAATATGATCAGGATGTAAGGCATTTTTATTACTTCTGTGAATCCATTTGCAGTTTTATGAGTGTACTTCAAAAACATATTGGTATACTTTAAAAACTATTTTAAAGAAATTCTTAGTTTCTTAACATAGTGCAAACCTTGCTTGATGTAAACAACCCCTCCCCCCCAAAAAAAAAACAAACTAAAACTCACATTGTTAGGCATTTTTATAAAATCGTTTAAAGAAAAGTTGACTTTTCTACTTGTGTCGTCATGGATTATGTACTTATTTGCTAATCATAAAGTTAGCAGTTTAAACCCACCATTGTTTCACAGGAGAAAATGTCTCCTCATGGCTATAAAGATGTAAAGTCTCAGAAACCTACAGAGGCAGTTGTGCTCTGTCCTAAGGGTTGCTATGAGTGGGCATCAACTCCGTAGCAGTGATTGCCTCTCTGTTAGGGTTCACATTAGGAAGGACTTTGGATTGCATTTGCTTTTTTCTTGTGCTTTTTTTTTTTTTTTAAAGTATTGCATTCTTTTCCTGAATATGTTTGAGACAAACTAAATCAGAAACTTTCTATCATCTTCTAACCCAAAAGAATTAATAGTTTAGCCAAGGGTCTAAAAGCCATTAAAGATCTAGTTTTTTCAAAACATTTATGTTAACATTTGTTAACATTGGAGAATGAAGAGGGCCTGTGTTTAGGCTTAGTCATTTCAGTAGCTTAGGTTTGGTATATATTAAAAGTATCTCGTACTAGTAGAAAGTATTTCTTTGAATGTGTTTAGACTATAAAATGTGACTGGAAAAATAATGTATGCTGCAAACTTCTTCTTTAGCTAAGTGTAAGGCGGAAAAATACCAAAGAAATGTTTGGCGGCTTTTTCAAGAGTGTAGTGAAAAGTGCTGATGAAGTCCTTTTTTCTGGAGTGAAGGTAAGTCTAGACTTTTGGCTGTTTTAGAAAACTCTTGGCTTCCATATAAATAGGTGTGGCATTTTTATCTCAAGTTAAATGGTAGTGGTAATTTCATACGTTTTTTATGATAATGTCTCTGTTAGAAAAATGTAACTGCCACATAATGGCATATATTTCTTTTGGACAGCTTCACAATTCTATCACATACCAAACTCGGTGCCATCTAGTCCATGCTGACTCTTACTGACCCATAGGACAAGGTACAACTGCTGATGTGGCTTTTTGAGGGTAACTCTTTACACCTTTCTCCCTGGGATCAGCTGGTAGTTTCAAACTGCTGACCTCTGACTTACCAGCCGAATACGTGACCACTAAGTTGTTTTCATAGGTGTGATTTATTCACTTCCTTTCTCCTTTTTCAAAAAAAAACAACAAAAAAACCCCCAAAACTAATTTTCCTTTACAGTTGCTTTAGGCTTGGGTAAGGAATTCCCAGAATATACTTTTAAATTATTCATAGGTACTCAAAGTACTAATGTTGATGCCAGGCTTCCCTCCAGTTTTGAACCAGTCAAATCTACCTACATATGCATACACAGATCCTTGTATACAAGAAAAGGTAGTGTTACTGCACCAGGCTGAGCTATTTGTGGAGTAATAGAACTACTGGATTCTAGAGAGGGTGCCCGGGAGAAAGATGGGGTTTTATGTTCCTATAAAGAGTTACAGTCCTAGATACTCATAGGGGCAGTTCTCTCCTCCCCTGTAAGGTCGCTATGAGAGTCCTCATCGACTTTTGATGGCAGTGAGTGCTTGGGTTTTTTTTGAAGGGGGTGGGGGGTAGGAAGGGAAGCATGGGGGGTGCACGGGGTTGGAATGCCAGACATTTACTAGGCATTTCCAAATTGTTGATGTTGCTATCTCAAAGATAACAAGTGTTCTCTCACATTATTGGTGGCCCTTCGGTCTGTAGTGTAAAATGGCACCTCAATGATTTACATTCTCTTGCTCTCTAGACACTAGTCTATCAGCTTATTTGCTGTAGTTTCTTCAAGTGCAGTCACAAAACTCCTATTTCCTAAATTTTTTGTTCCTCCCTTTTAGGAGGTGGATGACTTTTTTGAGCAGGAGAAAAATTTCCTCATTAACTATTACAATAGAATCAAGGATTCGTGTACAAAAGCTGACAGAATGACCAGATCTCATAAAAGTAAATACCATTCACATACTGGCTACTCACAGCTTTGCTAACGTGCACAGCTCTGTTCATGTAAAAAGAGCTGTCCTTCTCTCTGCAGGTGTTGCAGATGACTATATCCACACTGCAGCCTGTTTACATAGTCTGGCTTTAGAAGAGCCCACGGTCATCAAAAAGTGAGTTTTTGCTGGCAGAACATTGCTTCTGGGCCCCCATTGTAGATGTTCTCATGGTATCGTTGAAAGAATAATGAGTAATAGATCAGAGACTGTGGTGGCTCATTGGTGAAGTACTTGGTTGCCAACTGTAAAGTTGGCGATTGAAATCTACCAGCCACCACAAGGGGGTGAAACCTGGATCTGCTCTCCTAAAGATCACTGCCTTAGAAGACTTTGTGGATGTAGTTCTCGGTCATAAAGACTGTTGTGAGACAAGCAACTCTGGCACATAGCCAGAATGAGTAATAACTATGGTTTCAGTTCTGCTCCAGAGTATAAGCTTATTCATCACAGATAGAACCAGTCTCTGGCCCTTATGTTGGCATAACAAATTTGTGCCCTGTATATGTAAATAATGCTATCAATTTTCACCTTTTGCCACCCCATTTAAAGCGCGCGCGCGCCGCACACACACACACACACACACACTCCCCTCTCAGGTTCAGATTATTTTAATACAGGAGTAATTTTGGAGTCATCTTTTTGTGAACTTTGCCCATGACTTCACTTTCCCAGGATAGATTTGGTTATGGCGATCATAAGGAAACAGTCTTCGGAAGGAAGAACACAACTGCCCCCATGTGTGGCACTGATAGTAGGCTGAGTTTTCTCTTATTTGGAGCCAGTCTCAATGAAAGCACTTATGAGTATTGACAAAGATCATATTTAACACATTAGACTAAAATCCTGCCTGTGTTTTCAGGTACCTTTTGAAGGTTGCTGAGCTGTTTGAGAAACTTAGGGTAAGGATTTTTGAGTTGGTGTTCTTAAGTATTTTCTAATGTAGGATAACTACTTTGACTCTGATGTTTACTTTTTTAATAGAAAGTAGAGAACCGAGTGTCATCTGATGAAGACTTAAAGCTGACAGAGCTCCTTAGATACTACATGCTCAACATAGAGGCTGCTAAGGTAAGCTCAGGATTAAAAAAAAAACACATCAGAGTAGTACAGGGCAATCTTGGCACAACCCACACAGGATTAATGGTGTATTTGTAATCTGAAAGACAGGCACTTATCAGAATTATTTTTATAAGTGAGCTTAACTTTTTTTGTGATATGTTTATTGTTGGTTGTTCTGTAAGGATTTTGCTGAGTAGACAGATCATAGGTTATATACCGTATATGCTCATGTATAAGCCGAGGTTTTTCAGCACATTTTTAATGCAGTTTTTGTAGTAAAGTTAGGTGCCTCGGTTGATATTTGGGTCAGCTTATACTCGAGTATATTCGATAACATAGGTTACTGAATGTAGGATATTCAAAGTAGTTTTATTTTCATGAAATTAAAGAGCTTACCCATTTCTGAAAATTGTCAGGTGTTCACAAAAGTACATAGTTTAATGATCTCATGTATCTTTTACCTAACTTCAATTATTTTGTTAAACTCCCAAGTTTGGCTTCTTATTAATTGTAGTAATAGTTTTTTAAAAACTCATGATTACCCAGTTTAGTGAATGGTAATTTCTTTCTTGCAAAAGATCTTTATTTCAAATTAGCTTGGCAGGTTACGTTCATAGAAGCAGAACTTGCTGGATGGGGTTGTGTGACTGTCTCCTCCTAGTTGGTTTTACCCTTTGACTCTTCCATCAGTAAACGTACATCTATTTTGATAAAAAATGGTTAATTTTCTGAAGCAAAAGGGCAATCAATTAGAACTGGTTCTTCCATTTGCACTACGTTGGTTTCCTGATTCATTTAAAGAATTCTTCTAAAGCTCTCAGCAGCACTTTTAGAGTTAGTTGGCCTTTCTTAATCCTGAGATTTAAAAAAAATTGAATTGGGAAGATAGATTTGATTCTTGCATAATCTAACGTTGCAGGCAGTAATCTAGCATCTCAGTGGTGACTTGGGTTATACTAATAGCTTAGATATTTAGTTCTCCTGTTTTGAACTCTGGGAATTATTCAGAATAAGGTAACCTTGCCTTACTTGTTCATTTTTTCTCAGGATCTTTTACACAGACGTACCAAAGCTCTCATTGACTACGAGAACTCAAATAAAGCTTTGGATAAGGCCCGATTAAAAAGCAAAGATGTTAAACTGGCAGAGACACACCAACAGGAATATTGCCAGAAATTTGAACAGCTTTCTGGATCTGCAAAGGAAGGTAGAACAGAGACACCTTTATTTGGAAATATTTACAAGATTATGGGGAAGAACAGCTGCATAAACATTGAAAGAACACCTTAAGATTCTTTTTTTGGGTTATTTAGATGACCAGACTTTGCCTTATTTGCTTTATCAGTCATTTGAACACACATAACTACTGCACATTCCTTCCTGATTTGAATATATTCTCTTATGTACTCACAGTACAGTTAATCAACTTTGGTGGTAAATTTAATCTTGATACAGCCTGCATCTGTATTTTTTGTTGAATGTCCTTCCCTACAAATTCAGTCTAGGATTTCATTGAAGTGTCATGTCTCCTACGTCTTCTTTAGTCTGGAACAGTCTCAGTGCCAGCCTCACAATTATTTTTGTGCCTACTGTCACAGTCACTGCCCCAGGCCATTCTGTCATCCTCCTTTTTGCTGATGGCTATTCTACCAAGCATGATCTCCTCCGGGGGATTGATCTCTCTTGAGACACTTTAAGAAAAGCTGGTAGTTGATTGAGTAGAACTGCTCTGTAGGTTTAATTGGGCTATGATCATTACCAGGAGCATATTGTTAAATCTTCCATTAAACCTTTAGGTGGGTTCAGTTAATAGTCAAGTGCTGACCATTGTGCCATTAGGACTTATTTCCTTTCTTTTTTTTTATTAATCATTTTATTGGAGGGCTCTTACAAATCTTATGACAATTCATCATCCAGTTTTAGTAAGCACACTATGTTGCCATCAACATTTCCAAAACATTTTTTTCTGCTCCCTCTCCCACCCTCGTGAATCCTTGATCAATTAAATATTTTTGTTGTTATTTTGTGTCTTATACTGTCCGTTGTCTCCCTTCACCCACCTTTCTGTTAATCATCCTGGGGGGTGGGCTATATATATCCAACCTTGTGATGGAATATTGCTACTCCCACTACTGTTCTTGAGGGTTGTATCTGCCCTCAATTCCATGTGTCAAAAGAGCTCTTAGCTGTACCAATATATGTACTCTGGTCTAACTGGATTTGTAAGGTAGAACTGCTGGGTCCTGGTAGTAGCAGGGAGGAAGCATTCAAGAAGTAGAGGAATGATGTGTGTTTCATCAATGCTAAATTGCACGCTGGTTGAATTGTCCCTTCTTTGTAACCCTTCTGTAAGGGGATGTCCAGTTTGTCCACAGATGGGCTTTGGGTCTTCACTCCAACCCCCCTCATTCACATGATATAATTGTTTTGGATTTTTTGATACTTGATAACGTGATCCCGGTGACACCTCATAATCACAGGCTGGTGTGCTTCCATGTGGGCTTTGTTGCTTCCCTGCTAGAGGCTGTTTGCCTATAAGACCCTAGGCGCTGTATCTTTTTGATAGCTGGACACCATCCACTTTCTTCACACTTGCTTATGCACTCATTTCGTCTTCAGTGATTTTGTTGGGATGGTGAGTATCAAACAGTGCCAGGTTATTAGAACAAAGTGCTCTTACGTTTAAGAAGGACTTGAGTAGAGGCCCATAGTCCATCTTACTCTTGTACAAATATATGTACATTGGCCTCTATCCCGTTCATTGCAAATTAATATATTTAAATATATACATGCCTTTAGCTATACCTCTATAAATAACTTTTATATCCTACTTCTTTCCTCTCTTTTCACCTTCCTCCTGACCCACTATAATGCTCACCCTCACTTGGCTCTCAGTAAGTCTTGTGTACATTGTACTTGATCAAACCCCACCAGGTCTCCTCACCATCATTTTTAGATCTCTTGTTTCCCTCATCCCTGAGTTTGTTGGCTCCATTCACCCTCCCCATCCTGTCCTTTCCCATGTCCCCCTGGAACCCCTGCTCCCGTTGTTTTCTCTTCAGGATGATTTGTCCTGCCTGTCTAATATAGATAGACATAGGGCAGAAGGAAAACTAAACCAAACCTATAGTTCCAGGTCTTTCTGCGTGTTTTTCAATCAGGTCTGATGAGGTGCCAAACCCTGTCCCCCAAATCAGATCTATTTTCAGGATTCCTTGGGGACTTGGTTACTTTGTTCCCTTTGCTGCCCTGTTGCACTCCCTTTGTGTTTCATTCCGCTGTGCATGAGGTAGACAGGGCACATTTTCCGCAGTGTCTCTTGTGCTGTTCCCTATAGCGCTATGGGGTCAGTGAGAGAACTTGTTTCATGGTGGGACCGGCCCTACGATCCTTTGTGCATGGCTACTCTGAGCAGGTGTGTCATCATCGCTGGGGCTTGGTAGGCCATAATGAGGTTGGTTCTTTTTTTCTTCTCTCCACCTGTGGTCTGGACAGACGTGCCACTCTCCTTGGGCTATATCTTCAGTGCTGTTCTCTGTATTACATTCTTGTGGGGAGAGGGGATCAACAGAGCTTGGCTTGGGCCTGGCTCCATCATAGGACTTCTTCTTTTTTTTTTTTAAATCATTTTATTAGGGGCTCATACAACTCTTATCACAATCCATACACACATCTGTTGTGTAAAGCGCATTTGTACATTCAGTGCCCCATAGGACTTATTTTCTAATGAGTTATTTAATCCTTAGTTTTGGTGGAGGCAATAGAAAATGAAAAATTACATGTAAAATTGACATTCCATACAAGGCATGTCTATAGCAACATTGGTTAGATTTTCAAAACAAAATTATTAGCTAGTGATGTGAAATTGTTAATGCACTGTCCTGGTGCATAAGAATATGTGGCTGAAGGTGAAAATTGTTTTAATTTTCTTTGCAAACTTGTTCTTTCTCACTTACAGAATTGACTAATTTCAAAGAGAAGAGAGTGGCAGCATTTAGAAAGAATCTCATTGAAATGTCTGAGTTGGAAATTAAGCATGCCAGGGTAAGTGCCTTTAACAGCTGAGCCCATTGACTGCCTGTACCACTTAGGGACTCTGACTACAATGTGGATGATTTGTATGTAAATCACATATATAATGTTCTATGTATTTCAAATTTTCTAAATTTCTTCAACCTGGTAATTTGGACATTTATAAAGCAATTTTTTTGGTCCTTGAGCTTTGAGCCTTCCCAGGCAGTGATCTCAGACCCTGGTGGGGTGGGGGTGGAGTTTTCATTACAAATTTTAATAAAGGGAGGCACGTAACTCATTTTGGTTGATTTTTGTGAAAGGTTAGCAGGTTTGAATTTTGTTCTTGGAGATAAATGCTATGCCTTCAACCGGAGAGTTAATAGGACTGCCTTGACTTCTGCTTTTCTTCCAGAATAATGTGTCCCTCTTGCAAAGCTGCATTGACTTGTTTAAGAACAACTGATCTGCCTTTGTTCTGAATGAAGGAGAAGAAACAGAACAAATGTGAAAGCCAGCCTCACTTGCACTTCAATCATTAGCCATGGAAGATTTATTAGTTTCTTACTTTAGTTTAAAATGATGTGAGTAAATACTTTGATTTCTAAAAATCTTAACACTTAACCATGTTGGTTTAAAGCTATTTTTATTGCATATTTCTTGGTCATAACTAATCTTTTTCGTACGCATTTAATACCTCAAAGTTGTCAGAATCTAACTGCAGTGTTCTCCTGTAGTTTATTTTTATTAAGAAAGGGTGTGGGAAACATGTGCCTTCTGGAAACAAGGATAAGAAATTGCCTGGCACATGCTTGCCTCACTATGTGTCCATGTCCCCACAAACATATTTTAAGATAGGGGATCACTTATGGCAAATACTTGTCACAAGTCACAGGCATTCTGTTTCTTAGGTCTCTCTGTTGACCCCATGGTTTTTTAGCCATCTCATGTGTGCACTATACCAAGAGCAAGATCATCTCGTTGATCTTTGTACACTCTTTGCATGCAGCTCCGTTTTTGAAGTTGGGATATCAGGAGAAGGACGCTGAAACAAGTGTGCTATGATCTCTTATAGAAAATGGTCAGCTCTCCACAAGAATGTGTTATCCTTTTTTGACACCTCCTAGTGAGGAGCATTGTAAGAATTTGGCTTTTATTTTTCATAAATAAAGTATGTGATAAACTAATAAATCAGACTTTATGGATTTTTTTGGTCCACTTCAATAATAGCAGCAGTTATAACATCAGAGTTGGGTGGGGTTCCCTTTGTGTGTATGGGGGACCAGTGTGGTATGTTTGTGCCCAGTCTGTGCCAACCCACTTCGTTACACCATTGTGGAGATCTCATAAATTTCATGTCATGTATCTTTGAGCACTCGGCTCCAGCTGTTCCTTAGGGTCCCTGACTGAGGGTTCATTTGCTTGTGATTCTTTTCAGTTTTGCTTGTTTGGCAGGGCCTGTATGCCAATGCTGCTGGGTCCTCACTGCATTATGTGGGAGGCACATGGCGTCTGTCCCATTGTTAGTTAATGTAGTCAACTGCTAGTGTCTCCGCTGAAGTTTACTCTCTGTCTTTTGTGCTTATTAAGTAACTTATGGGAGGATGTGTGTGTTGTTAATTCACCCATTTTAGCATACTTGACACCCTTATGTGAATAGGATAAAAGATATGAGAGTTGCAAGGTGGAACATAATTAACATTTAACTTTCCTGAATTGTATCCAGCTAAGACTTCCGACTGTGGGATTCATGACGGGACTTTTAAAAGTTTATGCAAATCGAATTAAAAAGTTACAATGTCTCCCAAGAATTTTCTTAAGCCCCCACATAACTGTTTCCTTGTAAGCATGGCACTGTCTTCCCCTTTACTGTCCACAGCGACCCCTGTGTTCTGTGAAGTTCCTGGAATGTAACAGTCTGTGTGGTATACCTGGCTTTTGGCCTCATCCTACTCTCAAATTTCACCCAAACCTTGGGCCCTGTTTTTAAAAAGCTAAACCAATCTGGCATACCCGGAACTACATGGCCTAAGGAAACTTCTCAGCCAGCTGTTTCGTTATAAGCCTCAATCAATACCTTGAAGACTCGTTACTAGATAAGGATCTAGCATGATTATAGATAGGCTTACCCTTACATGATTTGCTTCAAGGATAATTACAAGTCATTTAGGTCTAAGCAAACCAAAATCTCAGTCATCAAGTTAATCCTAACTCACAGTGACATATAGGAGATGTAACTGCCCCATGGGGTTCTGAGACATTTAGGAAAAAGTAAGTTATTTCATGAGGACACAACTCAGATCTGACAATTCCGTAGTTCAGTAATACCAAGTAGTGTTACACACTAGCTACCGCAATCAGTGTTAGAACATGTTCTTTCTCTTTGTTCTGCTTGTTGTTCTTAGCTCCCCGTTTCCTATACCCCTAAGAAACTCTTAATCCCAGTTATTGTCTGTAGGTTATCCCATTCTGAGTTTCATATATCGAAAACAGTTCTGGTATATACTTGAATATGAGCTGAGTTTTTCAGCACATTTTTAATGCAGTTTTTTGTGGTAAAATTAGGTGCCTCGGTGTATATTCGGATTGGCTTATACTCGAGTATATACGATACATAAGAAGAACCAAGAAGACTATAAAATACAACAGATAAACCCCAGTTTGAAAGAAAACAAAATATTAAAAACGAGCAAATTCAAAATGTGCCAAGGGAGATCAAATGATACAGTACTGGAATTTAACCTAGTTAAGTCTGTCAGGCCTGGTGGTGTGGTGGTTACATATTGGGCTGCAAATCACATAGTGCAGTGGTTCTCAACCTGTGGGTTGCGACCCCTTTGGGGTCAAATGACCCGTTCATAGAGGTCGCCTAAGGCCAGCGGGAAACAAATATTTCACAATATGTAATTATATATTTTGTGATTAATCACTGTGCTTTATGTTGATGTTCAATTTGCAACAATGAAAATACATCCTGCATATCAGATATTTTACATTACAATTCATAACTAACAAAATTACAGTTATGAAGTAGCAACGAAAGTGATTTTGTGGGGGCTGGAGCCGGGCTGAAAAAGAATTTTGTGGTTGGGGGGATTACCACCACATGAGGAGCAGTATTACAGGTTCGTGGCATCAGGAAGGTTGAGGACCACTGGCATAGTTGGTTTTAAACAGCCTGCTACTCGGGAGCTTTCTACTTGGAAACCCACAGGGCTTCACGATGAGTTGGCATGGACTCTTGACAGTGCGTTTGGTTTGGGCATTGACATCCTTGGTCTATTTTCAGAGGGAATTTGCCTGAGTGTTTATGCTCAAGAGGAGGTACCTCCCAAAAGAACAACAAACTTGTGGGTGGAGCTTTTGTAGTACACATTTTTCCCATCAGGCAAGCATGGAGCAACTTGCTGAGTTAGCGTACCCAGTGGCACCTGGGAAGGTTCTCTGGACACAGTGAATTTTTTTTCATAAAAGCAGTTATGTTTGAACCTTGTTTTTTGTGATGACCAAATTATGAAAACAGCATGTGGCTATGAAGTTTTGTTTCCAGCTTGGGAAAAATGCTGCAGAAACTGTTGTGATGTTGAATACAGCTTGCAAGGACAGCGCTATGGGAAAAATTCAAGTGTACGAGGGGTTTTATGGTTTTAAAAAAAGTGAAATGTGAATTGATAAACCACATTCCTGACGACGACAACTTTCTGAATGAACGAAAATGTCAACAAAACTGGCGATGGACCATTGAAGAGACGGGGAATTATCTGGACTATCTTGGAACTCACTACAGCGAATTTTAACAAGATTTGGGTGTGAATAGGGTCCCTGCAAAATTTGTGCCTTGGCTTCTGACTGGCCAGGAAAAAGAGCTTTGAGTGGAACCATGCCATGCTTTGAAAGAACAGCTCCAAAGCCACCAGGAGGTTTTTTTCCCAAGGTGACAGCGTGGTGCTATTAGGACTCTCAAAGCAAACCTATCAAGCCAGTGGAAGATGCCATCTTCACCTGGCCCACAGAAAGCTCATTAAGTGGAATAAAATATCAAGACGATGCTCAATTGGATTTTGAAGTGACGGATATAGTGCATTTGGAGGTCGTTCCACCAGGTCAGACTGTTCATCAAGCTTTCTATTTAGGGGTTCTGAAAAGATAGTGTAACCGTGTGCACAAAAAAGGGCCTGATTTGTGGCAGGCACAGTCCTAGTTTTGCCACCACGAAAATACACCTGCTCACATAGCCATCTCAGTGCACGAGTTTTTTGGCAAAACACGGTATGCTTCTAGTCCCACGCACCTTACTCACCTGACCTCACTCCCTGTGACTTTTTGTTTCCTTGAAGAGGGACATGGAAGCCAGAGATTTGACAATGAAGAAAAAACATTGGAGGTGCTGTCAGCCATCCAAACATGAGTTTGAAAAATGTTCCCAAGAATGAAATAGATTTGACAACTATAGTAGTGTAATAATGGAGAGTGCTTTGAAAGTGATAAGGTGGTTTTGTAAAAGAAATTTAAATACATAACTTTGGGGGGCATTCTGGTTTTTGGGGGGTACCCCCATGTATTTCCCCTTCACTTTTTTTTTTTTGGTAACCATAAGAACTTTTAGATGGAGACTAGCTCTTTACAGAACTAGAAAGCCTCATATCTCCTGTGGAACAACTGGTGGTTTTGAGCTGCTAACCTCGGGTTTAGCAGCCCAACATGTAACTCACTACACTGCCATGCTTTCATTAGGTATAACAGTAGCTAACAAAATTGATGGAGGTCTGGTTAGTAGTCTGTTAACCATTCCGGTCCATGTCAGTTCCCCTGTCTGCTCAGTACTCAATAACTATCATTGAATTGACTGGAGTTTGCAGCCAATATCCGGAAGCAATCAAGGTGAGTGTAACTTTGTCTTACTGTGAAGCCCATGGGGCTAGAGGAAAGGGACAGATGAGCTGGGATCCATGTGTTCAAAAACAACTAAAGCTCTTGGTGACATGTAAGTAAGCAGTGGATCGTTCAGCATGCGTTTACATGATCCACCCTCCTGGGCCTATTTCCACAGTAGCATTCCTTGTGCACTTACTGGAGTTGGGAAGGTTGGGTTTTGGTGGGTGTTTTCAGCACATGAGGGTTTAATTTTGCTTGCACTGTTGGCTTTCCACCTGTAGTGGGCAATGTCAACCCAGTGTCCTCCCTCATTGCTATAGAGTTGGTGCCAACTCAGTGACCCTGTAGGTAGAATTGCCTGTGAATTTCTGAGACTATAGGAGTAGAAAGCCTTGTTTTTCTCCCACAGAGTGGCTGGTGGTTTCAAACTGCTGACCTTGGAGTTCGCAACCCAAGGCTTAACCATTATGGCCCAAAGGCTCCCGTTCCTCAGAGTTGCTTAAATTACCTTGAGGCTAAAGTGCTAGTAGCAGGAAGGGGAACTGGAGTTCATAATTCCAAGTGGTGCCTTCCCATACCGGTAGTCCCTTCAGGATTTTTGTGGGCCCTGTATTCTTGTGACCCAAGACAAACTTTGCTAAGGCAGTTCATTTCGTCCTGGGAACTGGGCTTATTGAGACGTGTCAATCAGCCATGATGTGTTGGGGATACAGTACTGAGCCATCTAACATGCATGAGGGAGAAAGTTACAGCTAGGCAGGGATGCTCAAGACGCTGAGGCACTAAAGACACTGGAAGATTCAACTCACTTCCACACCCTAACAATCAGATGTGTGATTCCACTGGCCCCGGACCAGAACTAAGTAATGCCTTATGGGAGATTTGATGTGTTGCTGTTCAAAGACACTTGGCATTTCTAAAAGAAATGTTTATTTTCTAGGAGTAAACAATACAAAGATGGATAATCTAGAAATAAAGTTCCTTTGCCATATGCCATAAATGTCATTTGATAATTGTTTCTAGTTTTGTTACTATCTTATCACTCCGTTTAGTTACTATCTTCTCTCTCTATCCCTCTACTCTCCCAAACCCTTCTCATTAGGGAGAAGTGGAATGATGGGACCCTGTTAGGACTTTAATTTTTTTTATCTAAAGCATCCTTTACCAAGTTCTTTCTGATGTTAAATTGTGGGTCACCTCACATTCAAAACACCTAGTAAAAGAAGTGCCCAGTGCTGGCTTTCTTCTCCATCACTGCCTTCTGGCTTTTAGCCACGTGCAGATTCATCCTTTTGCTGAGGGATTGAAGCTCCTGG